ATAACATTACATATCGGATGTTGAACGCCCAAAGCAAGTCTAGTGTTAAGATAAGAATTAAAATCCAATGAACACATTCGCTGTGTTCTGGATTAGAAGCCACGATTCTAGCTGCGATGATGTTCTCACAACATTATAACTAAAACTTATTGTTAATTCTGAAATACATTCTTGTTAGCTCTAAACATGACACCACCCCGACCTTAATATATGAAGCAGATATAAGCGTAATTAAATAACAAACTCATTAAATCACTGACAGTGTAAACTTAACCTTAGTATTACAGGTTTTAGGATTAGCTTTTGTAATCCATAATTGCCCATTGAAAACTTAAATGAATGTTACAACTCCAATGAAATTTCCTTCACCCGATTGCTTGACGCTGTGTTGAAGATAAATGACTCAACACTGTATTTTATTAATGGATGGCAAAAGCAAACCATAAAACACAGCATCAAGCGTCGATCGGGTATTACTAGTAACGAAACATTACAAAAAACTTACAATTACAAATAAAAATACATAGTTCATATGTTTTGATTAAAATTTGTTCGTTCATACACTGTATACAAGATTGTCAGCGAATATTTTTAACAACTCTTCAAAATTGCCGCTGATTAAACTTATTTCATTGAAAATATTAGTGGTCGACAATGATGGCCGAACGTAACTCAAAGAGCCAAGGGCGAGGAAAAAACTTATCGCTCCTACTAAAAATATCCTACAAAGTAGTAACGCAATAAAATATGAACGCTATCAACTAAGATGACTCGTTTGTCCTAAATCTAAATGTTAGAAAGATTTTGTTGCGCATAAGAAAGCACTTTTTTTTATATAAATTCGAATTGTTACGCATCAAAGCCCATTACTGTCCACAGACTAAAAATAAAGTTATGTGTAAGTTTGTTAGAGGTTCATGTAACAATTGTCTGGACAAGTGTGAGCTGATGCAAACGTTTCAATAGTGTCGGTCACTGGAATTTTTGTCCATAAATTAACTAAGTTCATTTCGATCTAATAACTCCATGTAATAGGTTTGCCGACCCCCTCCCCCTCCCCACGCTTGTGGTCTCAGCGAGGTTAGCCAAGATGACATTCTAAGATGGTTGGCGCTGTAGAAAGCTGTAAAAATGAACGAAATCAACGCTAAGCCATGTGACTTAACGTTCACAATGTCACTCTCATTCATTACCACTGCCAACGCGCGAAGTCATAACGTTATCGGCAAACCTTCAGAAGTCTTATGAGTCATAAAATATTTTTAAAAAAAACCCACGGAAAATACAAAAATGCTTTCTTATCACGACGCTACCAACAACGCGTTGTCGCTAAAAGCTACCAATAAAAGGTGAAAACTTTTCGAGGGTGATGTAGCAATTTTTACTTTAATAATTATAATAATAAAAAAAAAGAAACAAAAATGCATAAATACATTAGTAAATAAGTTTAGAGGCACGCCCGACGCCCGGTGTAGTGCTGAACTAAAACTATTGCGTCCTGCGCAGTCATATACATACATATATACAAACACACGCACACACGCACGCACAATCACTAAAGACAATCCTTTTCACGAGGAATCGTCACTGGGTCGAGTGAAATTTAGAAAATATTCGCTCAAAAGGCTTTCAATAATTGATCTGTTTCTAATTCCCATACATTGAAAAGTTTTGCTAGAAATTATATGTTTTTACATAAGAAAAAAAAGTCAAGCTACCCGCCAACTTATTAATCTGGATTCTGAAACATTTTTCACACGGTAATAGAGAGCCTAAGAAATCTGCTACGTTGTTTTATTTTAAACTAGATGTTCCCCGCGACTTTGTCTGCGTGGAATTTATTAGATTGGATTACATGGGTTTTAATTTTTTTGCGCAGAAGCCTAATTCATTTTCTAAAATAAAAGTGGCCTTAGTTATTCCTTAAACATCAGCTGTCTGAAAGTGAAAGTCACGTCAAAATCGGACCAGTCATTTCGGAGATTAGCCGTTACAAACAGACAGACAGCCAAAAAAATTTTACCATATATACTTTCATATGCATTTAATAAAAACTGTTATTTTGGCATTACAAATAGACACTTCTATTTTATTTATTTGTATAGATTTACGGATTTCATTCAAGTAAAAACTAAATAAAGAGCTTGTGCCGTTTTGGAAAAATTATTGCAAATTATGACAAAAATATGTACTTAATGTCTTTAGGGATTTTTTTTCTAAAACGGGGTTAACAAAAATATAATTTTACTGAATTAGAAACATTTATCGAATTTTTATCTGTCATTCTATATTTTTCTTTACGGATTAGATTAACAGTTGTTATGATTTTTTTTCTGGACATTTAGATAGATAGATAGATAGATATATTGTACACTAAAACAATACATGAACAAAAGAAGGATAAAAAAGAGTTTAGGCATTTCACCCGATCTTAGGACCTTATGATCATATACAACGAAGAGTTAGTTAAGTTCTTCTAAATTGAGATGCCACATTCAGTAGTGGATCCTCTAACGGGATTTCGACAAGAAATTAAAGTATTTATTTAAATATACGTAAAAGCCTTATGTTAATGTTCCATGCTACGTAACAATAAGAAAACAAAAATTAATTCAGTAGTTTATACTTTTGACACTTACTCGTTTGAAATTTATACGCATTAAAAATAAGAAGTTTGATTTGACTTAGTCTGTTTATTTAATTATAAACATCCAGGGAATATCGCCAACTAGTTAGGGTCCTTCATCTGGTCCCGTTCCCACCCAGTAACAAATCCTCGCGAATTTCACACAGGGTGCTTACACAACCAAACTTAACCTACCCAACATGGACACGGCCGCGTACACACAGACGGACAACGCGAACAAACTAAATATATTTAGGTTCCACCTAGACTAGGTAACTGCTATGCAGATTTTTTTTAAAAATAAAACACCTAATATTTTTGTAAAATTTCAAAAGCGTACTTACCAAGATCACAAAACTCTTTGAGTCCAATATAAGAATACACGCATATTTTTTATAATATCCTTTTACGTCAACTATATACCAACATGATCACATCATATTTCGTTTCTTCTCTCACCAAAATCGCCTAATATTGTTTCTATAAAATAATTATTATGTAAAATACTCAACAAAATTGTATTTTGTTTAGAAATACATAAAGCTCAATTTCGAACGTGTTCTGCCGCGGCCGCGTCCATCTTACACGTAAAAACATTTTAAATCCGTCGGATCGTACGCCTACGAGTATATCACAGCAGTGCGCTACTTATCTAAAGATTCGAATAGACCGCCGTAACTTGACCCCTCTAACCAACTCTGACTTGACTGGCCACTTCAAACTTTTGGCTAAGAAATTTTTTGGCAAACAATTACCAAGTTATAATACAGTAATTGGTCACACGATAAAAACAATTTTTAATTTCATCAAAATTACAGTTTAGGTTGTATGAAAATTAGTGTAAATATGATAATAATATTAATTCTGTGATACCATAGTAATCAAAAATTTGATAGACACGCTGACATAAAATCTTCACCCGATAACGAATATTTTATTTTGCTTATATGTTAGCCATCACAGAAAACTGAACCATGGCACACGGTACTAAAGTACTTACCCACATGTGGTACAAAATAACATAAAAAAAACATGATCTTAGCCAAAAAAGCCTTGTCTTAAAGCCAGGTGGTCACCACATGATATAAAACACCAATAGAGAACAAAATCGAAAACACAGGCCAATATGTTTGGCAAACTTGGTCACTATTAGCTGGGGGTCACGTTACGCTGGCCGTCCTACACGCGCCCTGTAAACACCCGGTGTCTTACTCTTGGGAGTCATGGACGAGTGGAATCGTTTTTTTTTATGTCGGTTTAGTAATTTAGGTGCAAGAACTGATACAGTGTTGAAATTTAAGTAAAGTGCATTGAATTAGAGCTCAACTACTTGCATCCCAAAAAGGTTCAAAGTCGTTATATTATTTTTCAATAACCAATCTATATATTTTAGCATAACATTTTATATAAATATAAATCTATATAATTGAAAAAAAAAAAGTAACAAAAGGTATGACTATAGCTGCATTAAAAATTAAGAACAAAATTATGATTTGTTGATTAATAGGTTTATAAAAAAAAATAAGAACCAAACTGGACTTTAAACTGATTTTGGCATAAATTTGTTTATAGCCAAGTTACTCAAAAACCTATTTGGTCTGTGGTCTCAGAATCCACCCGTCCCGAGCTCCCCGAACCCCCTCTCTCTCTACCCCACGGTGCCTACCACACACATCTCAGTATAAACCATCAAGTACACGTAATAATAAAACAAAACACGTATGCCTACAAACTAGATAAGTGGCATCTTGTATTTTATCGTTAACAAGAAAAAGTGACTGCGTCGTTTTATCCAAAAACTAATGTATGGCGGCCATTACAAGAAACAATTACTTGTATCTGGAATAACAATGTTTCAATCTGTTTTATTTCGTATATTATGGGAACGGTCCCACGTGCTAAATTATTTACAGATTAAAAACATAAAAATAAAACATCTTTAAAAATAAAGCTTCAAGCCATAGTTAGTTACTGAGAAAATGAACCCCGCACGACCATAGCTTCGCTGGGCTTAACCTGCGCAGTGATGTGAATCATACCTTATATGTGTATACCAATATTATGCATTTTCATACTCAACGCTTCATGACGTCACGTGTACACGTGACACACATACGTCGCACTACGCAAGCACTGTATCACGAATCAAACCGCACGTAGGTCACGCGGTCACGTCACGTTGCACACTTTTAGACACGCCGCATAGTTGTTTTTCACGCTGCGCAGTCGACCACGCAGCAGGAGTCACGGGGCACGGGGCGCGGGTCACTGGGCTCGGGGCGCGGGGCGCGGGGCACGGGTCAAGGGGCACGGGGCACAGAGTGTACTATATACAGATGCGCCGGGCGGGGTGAAGTGGAGAGAGGCTCTCACATCAAATCCGGTTCGGGGCGCTGCCGGTGAATGTGTCCTGGAACATACAAGCAAGCGTCTCTGTTATAAATTAAATGAAATATATTTATTTTCTCGGGTAAGAAATTAGAATTCCGTTTGACAAATATATTTATTTAAATCTACTAATATTTCGAAATCTTCATTCTTGCGACCGGAGGTGAATCAATTACGAATAAGCAATTTTAGCCGACTTATAAAATCGAGGAGATTCCAATAACAAACTGTACCTTCTATTTAGTATGTATGTTACGTATTTTAATGATATTAGATAGGTTACACTCCAGAGGTGGCCTCATATCAAATATCAATAGAAAACCTTATATAGACTCTAAACATAGTACATAAGAATGTCAACATAAAATAATAATCTATACAAATAAATAAAATTGAAGTGTATGTTTGTAATGTCAAAATTACAGCTTTTTACTAAATGCATATGAAAGTAAATACGGTACTTATAACTAAAATACAATTTTTTAAATTTTTGTTGTCTGTCTGTTTGTTCCGGCTAATCTCCGCTGAAAAGGCTGGAGCGATTTTGACGGGACTTTGACTGGCAGATAGCTGATGTCATAAGGAGTAATTTAGGCTACTTTTATTTTAGAAAAAGAATTAGGGGTTCCGCGCAAAAAAATTGAAAACCCCAAATAATACGCGGGCGAAGTCGCGGGGAACAGCTAGTTATTATAATATGGTGTTAATATATACGCGTATCTTACAGAGAAAATAGCCATAACGAAATAGGTACGTCTTTGGCGAATTTACGCACATACGAAAACTTGATAATATATCAACGCGGACGAAATCGCGGGTATCAGCTAGTTAATTATATTTTCTTTTACATTTTCAATGTAAGTTTGCAGCATGCGTGTATTAAAGTTTCACTTCTTTTATATAGTAATTTTAACGCTGTTTCATCGAGAGGGTTTTTGTATTTAGTGTAACTATAAGATTCTTTTTTTTTTTTGTCTTCCAATATTATTATTCCAATATTAGTCTTTTGGAAACCAATGCGGGTTTTGAATATTTCCCTTCTTGTATTTCCTAAATAACGTCTTATAAACTCGTGAAGCTTACAATAAAACACATTTCACATGAAATAAAAATTTCACTCCAAAATATTATTTCAATCTCCTCGATAATAACACTGTAATCGGCATTATACAATGTTGCGGTACAGTGGCGACTTTAATTTAACACACATACGAGGGCGGCACTGAACAATTCGGGAATCAAGGAAGTGACACAACATTACTATTTAAAAATGTATTTATTGCTTTTCGAAGTATTCTCCGCGAAATTTGACACATTTTTCCATACGACGGAACCAATCATTGAAGCAACCATTCCGTTCGGAAGTTGGGGTCTCCAAAATGGCCGTTTTGTAGGCGTCCACAGCTTCTTCAGGTGATGAAAATATCTGTCCACGCAATTTATTCTTTATTTTAGGGAGAGTATAGAAATCATTAGGGCTTAGGTCGGGGCTGTACGGCGGATGGTCTAATAATTCTATGTTTTCTAGCTCTAAAAACTCTTTTGTTCTGTGTGCGGTGTGAGAACTCGCATTGTCGTGATGGAGGATGATGCGGCGGTTGCAGTTCTCTTTACGCAGTTCAGAAACGACCTGTGGCAAACAAATGCTAGCATACCATTCTGCATTAACCGTTCTTTGTCCCTCAAGAGGAATAGTCGTAACATGGCCGGTTTTGGAGACAAACGTGGCCACCATTTTTTTTTGCAACACTCCGTGAACGAACAATTTTTGTTGGCTTTAACTCATTTTCGAACACCCAAACTCGTGACTGGTTTTTTTGTTTCGGGTTCGTACGCGTATATCCAGGATTCGTCACCTGATACGATGTTGTATACAGCATTTGAGGATCCTGCGTGGAATCTTTTGAGAGTTCTGACGCACCAATTAACGCGAGTCGCTTTTTGCTCTTCACAGAGCGAATGCGGTATCCATTGGCAAAACAACTTTTTTACACCTAATTGTTCATGCAAGATTATTTGTATTTGACTCATGCCAGTGTCTAAAGTTGCCTGAATTTCGCGGTATGTCACATGTCGCTCTTCCTCAATCAGCTTACGCACAGCATCAACGTTTTCTTGGGTGACTGTAGTTTTTGGACGACCTTGACGGGGATCATCAAAGAGCTTGACACGTCCACGTTGAAATTCAGCAAACCAGCGATAAATTGTGGTTTTGGATGGGGCTTCATCACCAAATGCAGAAATCATCCGGTCAACACACTGTTTTTGTGTTAAACCACTTCGAAAGTCATAATAAATCATCGCTCTTGAATTTTCTCGAGTCAATTCCATTTTCTCAACGACTAAACAAGTTTGACAAAACCTTGTGACAAGACAGAGAATCTTTTTTTAAATAAATGGTAAATGTGGTAAAATGGTAAAAAAAAAATGGTATTCAATTTTAAAAAACCAAGGACTTTTCAATTAAAAATATTTTAATATGACAGGAACAGTGGAAATATACCTATATATACCTATACTTTTAGTTCAGCCTATGTATACGTTTTCACATTTTCGTTTCATGAAGATATTATATTTCCATTAAACGTTATTATTTACGGATTTCTTTCAAATTTTAGAAAATAGCATCTTAGAGCAACCTGTTCTTAGATAAGTGTCGCGCAGCGGTCATTGCCGGAGTCGCGGGCCATAACATTGCATCATTAAAATAAATCGAGGTGGGCGGCGCAGGCGACGGGCGCCCTCCCACCCCGCTACACCGAAATCGAATTCTTTTTTTTTGCTTTTCTTTTCTAGTGCCAGCCGAACCTGTGTCCTTGACACATTTCTTCACAGTAGTGCGCATAATTAATAATAATAATAATAATTGTTTATTGCCCCTAAAAACAAACAGAGCTGTTTTTCAGCCGCTCCATCCTCCCTGAGGTGTTGTGCGGGAGTCCAAAGTAGCAGGCTCCCCATTTACCTAACTTATATTTTTAAACTACGTACAAAGTAATTAAATGTGATAAAATCGCAAATACAAAAAAAAAGATTAAAAACATTAAAGACAAAAACAACAATTACGTCGACTAATATTTTTTAATACAGTTGCTCGTACAAAGGGGGCATATTGCAGGGACGTATAGCGTTCGGGATGTAGGTTATTACATACTCGCGCTTTATCTTTACATTTTCCAAACTCGTGCGTTCTCTTTCCCAACTGTCAAAATAATGTCTATTAAAAAGAAAAAACCAACCACGAAGTTTTTATGATTCATGCAAATATTTCTAAAATGAAACTACTAATTTGTTTCAATATCAGATTTAATGATTTGATTCAATGAGTTAGGTTAGGTTTCATTTCATTTCATCTCATTAAATTTCATTTTCTTTTATATCAATAAAAAAATTCTACTGAAGACTTGGCTGTATGGGCATAGTTCCCTTTGCCTACCTAGAATGGGTGAAGAAAACAAAAAAAATCTCTGCTTATATTCTTTTACGGTTGGCGCCATTTTTCAAAAATGTTCTTTATTAAATTGCTTCATTTTTTCGCAACTGTATTAAAAATAGTTGTTCAGTACACGTGCGGAACCGTCATTGCAACTTGTTCTGACTGTCAACCCTCACCATCGGCTGCGCCTCGGCTCGGGTAGACATTTGTCGGAACTCTTTGCAATGACAGGCTTTCCGCACTCATAATGAAATATACTATTTATGAACGTTTCCGCGAAATATCGCTTACCTATTGTTTTATTTACTAATTTTTGTGTAATTAGGATGGTAATTAGATTATGGTACTGCGATGAAGCCGCTTTGTTTTGTTTTTGTTTTCTAATCTAGTAGATACGTTTAAGTTTTGGCGGGAACTTGACCGGCGGCGGTTTGCTGCTCCTGTTTTATTGTTTAAATAATGGTATGAAGTGGACTTTGATATGTGAAAGTGGTGCGTTTTTGTGTATTAAGTATCTGCGCATATGAACTATTATTGGAAACTGTGAAACAAGTGCTCTGATAGTGATGTGATTCTCAAAATAAGGTGCCTGTCTGCTTAGGCGCCTTGAGATACCATCACCAACCGTCAGCTGTCTGCTGGCTCAAGTTACCGTCAAAATCTCCCAAGGGCTGCACAATGTGATACATCAACATATTGTGAAGCAGTATACTATGAAGAATAATTATTATATTATAATATTGTAACTTCAGGCTCAGAAGGGCTAGATCCCAGAGCCGTAAAGCCAGTTATCAAGAAGAAGAAGTAGGTACGTTTACATCTCTTGCGATACTGACACTTTTATTTGTGTTATCAGTGCTTGTGTAAACTTGTGATCCTAATGGCAAATACACGTCCGAACTAAACAGCAGCTGAATATGCGGACAATTTACGGAGAATGTCATCAAAATGCCACCCTTGCGATAAGGACATATCGCGAGATACGGCGATTCAAGACAATGCCCGACTAATCCTCGCATTATTGTAGGAACTCTTCAGCGCATCCGCGAAAACCGGCCAATGGATCCTAGGTCGCAATGATCGACCACCTACACGACAAAACCCAATCCAGTTAACTGAAAATGTGATACAATATTTCGAAGACCAACCCAAAACTAGCCGCCGCCAGAGCGCTAGGCATTTCCAAATCCATCACAGAACCGTCCATAGGATATTAAAGAGCGAAAACTGGCACCCATTCAAGTTTAGAAAAGTACATACTCTGCTATTGAGTGATAAATTTATAAGAGTGAATTTTTGTCAGTGGTTACTGAATAAAATTGAAGAGTACAGTGACTTTCTTTTCCGAATTTGTTGGACTGACGAAAGCACGTTCACCAGTAACGGCATGTGGAACCAGCACAATCTGCACCATTCGGCACCCAAAACCCAAAATCCGCGAGTTTGGCGGGAGTTAGCCCATCAGTACAGATTTTCAGTAAGTGTTTGGACGACGATGATTCACGATGACAACATCATTAGACCCGTATCCATTGATGGGGCTTTGAACGGAGAAAGGTTCGTCAATCTACTAAATGATACGGTGTCAGAATACACAAACAACCTAGCTCTCTGTATCCGCCAACACGATGGTCTCATTGAAAATAAGAATATTAAGCCGTCAAAGAATCACGAGGAGGTACAAGACGCGTTGCGCGGTTGCCAGCCTGCGAAGCGACGCGTTGCCGCTCCGAGTTAACGTAAGCCAGCTAGGTGAGTAATTTCATGATTGAATTTTTGCAAGGGTGATCCCAATTTTAATTTAATTTTAGTTACTATTTTATTATTTAGTTTGTTTAAAAATTTTTTTTTTCAATTTACGAGTTATTTTCATCATCATCATCATTACAGCCCTTCACAAGTCCACTGCTGAACATAGGCCTCCCCCAAAGAATGCCACAAAGCACGGTCCTGAGCCACCTGCATCCATCGACTTCCTGCATGTCTTACCAGGTCGTCACTCCATCTCGAAGGGGGTCCCCCTACACTTCGCCTACCGGTACGAGGCTGCCACTCGAGAACCTTTCTTCCCCATCGGTTGTCGGTTCTTCGAGCTATATGGCCGGCCCACTGCCACTTCAGCTTACTAATTCGTTGGGCTATGTCGGTTATTCTGGTTCTACTGCGGATATCCTCATTCCTATGTTTATCACGCAGAGAAACTCCGAACATAGCCCTCTCCATAGCTCGCTGAGCGACCTTGAGCTTCCTCATACGGCCAGCAGTGAAGGACCACGTCTCGGTTCCGTAAGTCATCACTGGCAACACGCACTGGTTGTACAATTTCGTTTTAAGGTTTTGAGGTATGTCTGACGAGATGTGTCGTAAGTTGTTTTAACCTATTAAAATTAATATGATTAAAGGGCACTAGCCCTACCATGTGTTAAATTAAAGTCACCATTGTAGCGGCCACGTTGTATAATTAAAAATAAAATTTTTGTAGAATCGACTTCAATATAAATTATTAAGAATAACTCCGAAACTATTGGTCAGACCTCGATCAAATTTACATGGGACCACATGAGAAACACCAGCTTTCAAATAATAAAGAATCATTGAAATCGGTTTACCCAGAAAAAAGCTATGAGGTAGCGCACATTAAAAAACATATTCAGTCGAATTGAGTACCTCCTCCTTTTTGAAGTTGGTAGAAATTTCATTCTTTCGTTTATGTTGTAGCTGTGAAGCTGGAGTACAAGTTATACTGATTTCTAAGGGTGGGTGATGTCGGTCTATTTGGCTCAAGGGATGAGCTTTCTTTCACTTCGTCGACTATAAATGTACTTTCATTATACCTTTTAACAGAACTCTTGACCTGTGTGAGACCTGACCAGAGTTCTGTTAATAGGGTTTCGGATATGATTAAACTGGCATAGACCTTTTCGGTCATTTAATCTATAAAGTATTCGTCAATCTAATATTACTAACAAGAATAACATACCTTTGACTAGTTTGTTCAGTCCACCTTATATTGGATAAATTAAAATCTCTTATTGCTATTGTATTTATTTGCTCAAATGAACAAGAAAGATTGTCACAAAATCTTTTAAGACACTCGTATTTTAATGGTGAAATGCATTTGTTAAGAATAATTTTTTTTTTAATATTATAAGGGTGACAAACGACAGTTCACTTGATGGTAAATAGATGCTGTGGCCCATAGACATATATATTAGTCCTCAATTAAGAATCAAAATCCGGATGCGTTGTCACCCCTGAGGACGGAGATGTCTACACCCACCATACGAAACACGGCAGCTTTATGCTGTTGGTATTGTGTGAGCGTGTCCTACCCCGGTCGACTCGACCCATTCGTGCTACAACCATAATACAGCTGCAGCATGGCTCTACCACGTACATACAATATTGTAATCATAATCAATAAATCTAGTCCGTAAGCATGTGAAAAAATCGTTGCAAGTTTGAACTAACACAGTTCTTATTTTCATACACATATGTATATTGTATATTGCATATTTGTTCTGACATAGATAATATTTATATATATTGTGTATATATGTATGTGTGTGTATATGTATATTTATATGTATATATATATATATGTGTGTGTGTGTGTGTGTGTGTGTGTGTATACAATATTTTTTTAGCGCTTTCTATTTTGATTAGTGCTGCACCGCCTCTTGTTTGTATATCTCTGTTTAGCCTAATGGTTTATTGCGAGAGAATGCCCTATGGCATTAAGTCCGCCACATGTAAAACTTTGTGCATGAAAAACTAAATAAATAAAAAATATATATTATAAAATACTTACAATATCTCTAGTGGCCTGTGCACTGCCAGCACGGGGTCCGGGTCCGCCGCCCTGTAACACCAACATTAGAATAATGAGTCTTAAAAAAAACGACTAAGATTTGTTACAAATAAATAAAGTCAATTTTTTAACAAAAAAAAATTAAATACGGCGACTTTAAGCAGTGGTAGCTCAAGGGCAAATAGCTCGATGTAAATTTTACAGTATGCGAGTAAACTCAGATTCGATCCGTCACCAATGAATGTGCTGATTTACCACGTGCTCGGCGGTGATGGGAAATATCGTATGGAAACCTAAGGAATACAAATATTTCACAGATATGACTGAAATACTAAATATACTATACTATGGGACCTGATTTTTCACAGAGACCGTGTTGAATTAACGTAATTCGGGTAGTCAGCAGCCAATCAACCCCTGACATCTATCAAATTGGTTGTTTCATTTGTCTGTGAAATGCCTAATGGTTGAATTCAACACATAGCGCCTGAATTGACCCTGATGGAAAACCCCGCTTGACTATGAATTTCAGTATATGGTTTGCCTAAACACTTCTTATACACTCAATTCATACGTACGCAACACGTACTCACACGTACGCATCACATACACACACTTACATGCACGATAAGCACACGTACGCTAATGCATAGGCACACACGCACTCACACTCACATGTACACACACGACACACGCACGTTAACGCGGAAGAGCCACGCTATATTATGTTAGTAGCACGAATGGATCGGCTTGACCGTGGTAGGATCATGCTCCCACAAAATACCAGCATAACATAGCAGCCTAATGCTGCTGTTTCGTATGGTGAGTATAGAGAACCGGACCCTTTTTACTGGAAACAAGGCCTTCCATTTTAGTTCTCAGTGGTGGCATGCATCGATGCACGATCTTAATTAAGGATAGTTGTCTATTGGCCACAGCATCTATTTATCATCAGGTGGACTGTGTGTCCTTTTATATCCCTTATACTATAAAGCGTACTTAATCGCAAGCAATATGTACACACGCACGCTTCACGCACACACACACGCACGCATCACGTACACACACACACGCACGCATCACGTACACACACACACACGCTTCACGCACACACACACGCGCACACATACACACACACACACACACACACACACACACACACACACACACACCTCGTACACACAACACACACGCACGCATCACGTACACACACACGCACGCGCACGCATCACGTACACACACACCCACACGCACGCATCACGTACACACACACATCACGTACACACACACGCACGCATCACGTACACACACGCACGCGCACGCATCACGTACACACACACACGCACGCATCACGTACACACACACGCACGCACCACGTACACACACACACACACGCACGCATCACGTACACACACACACACGCATCACGTACACACGCACGAACGCATCTCGTACACACACACGCACGTGGGCATCACGTACACACACGTACACACACACGCACCTGCATGGCGTCGGACGCGGCGGCGTGCGCGCGGCCCATCTTGTCGCAGTAGTCGGCCAGGATGTCGCGGAACCGCGTCCAGCACTTCTCCGGCACCGTCACCGCCGTGCGGAAGTTGCTCTTCACCTGCAAGCACACGCGTGTATCTTCACATGCACTATTCACTATATCCAAAAAATAATAATAATTTCTTATATTTACGCGAACATTGCACATTGAATAAAACTACTTTTACGATTTTTTCCCCATGTAGGTCGGGTAAGGATAACCACTACCCCACATCTTCCCGTGAATGTCGTAAGAAGCGACAGAGGGAAACTGAGACAGGAGATGAGCGACACCATCTTTTCTGATAACAGCAAAATAACAATAAAAAGGTTTGGTTGCGATCACCGAATGATTTTTTCTAAATAGAATAAGAGTGCCGAACGAGCACACAGTCAACCTGATGGTAAATGGATACTGAGGTCCATACACATCTAAATTTATCCTCGATTAAGAATTAAAATGCAGATGCGTTGTCACTCCTGAGAACTATGATGGAAAGCCTCGTTTACAGTAAAAAAGGATCTCCGGTTCTCTACACTCACCATACGAAACAGCAGTATTAAGCTGCTATTTTACGCTGATATTCTATGAGAGCGTAGTCCTACACCGGTCGAGCCGACCCATTCGTGCTACAACCATAATATAGCTGAAGCATAGCTCTACCGCGTTAGATACTGAGGAATGGTGAGAAGCACACTGAACCTAAACGTTAAGTTGAAGAGGTCACGTCTAATAAAGTTAACGCTCCGCCCCCCCTCGTGCTCTAACACAAAGTTCCGAAAACTTTCAGCTCGAGTTACAAAACCGCTTCCAGTGCCTAGAAGACTGCAATACAGTGGACAATATGAATAACAAGCTCATGGATACTGTCTATGCGGTCGGAGCTAAGTTCTGCAAGTCCCGTCGCAGAAGAACACAAAATTTCTCCGATCACACTCTTAATCTCATGGCTGTTAGACAGGAAATGAACATGCAGTGGTAGAGCCACGCGGCAGCTTTTGCTGTCGCACGGATGGGCCGGCTCGAACCGGGGTAGTACCACGACCTCACAGAAAACCAGCGTGAAGTAGAGGTTTACCTCTGCGTTTCGCTTGGTGAGTGCAGGTGGCCGGAGGCCTTTTTTACTGGAAATGAGGCATTCCATCTTAGTCCTCACGGGTGACAACGCATCTACATTTTGATTTGTAATAGAGGATAGATGTAAATGTCTATGGGCCGCAGCAACCACTTACCATCAGGTGGACTGTGTGCTCGTTATTCACCCTTATCCTATAAAAAAATGCAGTCTTCACAAGATATGACAGGATGCAGGTGCAGCCTGCAGCCATATCGTTACTTACACTTGTAACGATCCAAGAGCAAGTGTGAGTAACGCCCTAAGGGCAAATCTTATCCGGACACTATTTCGATGATATTCCGTACGTCAATCTGATCGAGATTAGAATGGCTCTGCAGCACCTTAAAAACGAGGGACGAGGATGGAATAGAAACAGAAACAGAAACGTTTTTTATTCAATATTGATTATAAATAATACTCATTGAAAGTCACTCTTTTGTATAATTACCACTGGTTCGAAAAGAAAAAACTCTGTCCTGGGAAGAACCAGTAAGAAACCCAGCGGGAATTTTACTTTTATAAATAACAGCTTGCAATCATATATGTTACACAAATTAACAACACAACAAATTAGAAATAGCTTGGTAGCGATCACCTCATTTCCAGGGGTTATTATCATCTATAAATTCTTTAATATTATAATAACCCTTTTTATACACACTTAGTTTAATAAAGTTTTTGAACTTTGATCAGGTCGAATTTTGTATATTTTCTGGAATTTTGTTGTAAAAGCGTACATATCGCCCCAAGAATGAATTACTGACTCGATGGAGTCGAGTAACTGGTACTACTAGCTTGTGTCTGTTCCTAGTATTTACAGAATGAATATCACTTATTTTTGTAAAACTACTTTTATTTTTGTGTACGTACATTACATTTTCATAAATGTATTGAGATGTCAAAGTTAATATATTAATTTCCATAAATTTTTGTCGCAGCGACTCTTCAGGCTTTAAATCATAAATTGCTCTTATGGCCCTCTTCTGAATTACAGTGAAGCTGAAAGCGGGTGGGAAACTGTAACTTGAAGTCCTTCAGCAGCTCTTTAATTCCGTCCTCCATGGTGGCATTACACCGGAGGCGTAGAACAGAAGTACGGTGGTCTTGTTCTTCAAGAAAGGCGACAACGCTCTTTTGAAGAACAACAGACCGATTTCCCTTCTGAGCCGCGTCTACGTCCTGTTTTCGAGAGACATTATGAATCGTCTAGCAAGGAAACTCGGTGACTTCCAGCCTACCGAACAAGCCTTTCGAAAAGGCTTTAGCACCATTGACCACATACATACCCTTCAGCATATTGCACAGAAGATCGAAGCTTACAATCTGCCACTTTGTCTTGCATACGTGGACTATGAGAAAGCCTTTAATTCCATCGAAATTTGGGCAGTACTGCAGTCACTTCAGCGGTGCAAAATTGCCTGCTGGTATATCGAACTGCTGAAGTATATATACAGTAGGACTACGATGGCTATCGGAGTACAGAACCAGAGTACAATACCTATTCAATTGCAGAGAGGTGTAAGACAGGGTGACGTAACATCAACTAAACTCTTCACCGCTGCATTGAAGAAGTTTTCAAGCTACTGGACTGGAAAGGATGCGGCATTAACTTCAATGGCGAGTAAATTACTCACCTTCGGTTTGCCGAAGATTTAATCCTTATGGCAGAATCGCTGGAGGACCTACGCACTATGCTCAATGACAACAAGTGCCTTCCACCGGATGTCTTAAGATGAACATGGTCAAAAGAAAGATCATGTGTAACGTCCATGTAACACCGATACCGGAGAAACCAATCGACGGTTTCAATTCGGCTGGGCAGCGTTCGGGAGATTGCGACACATCTTCTCGTCAGGTATATCTCAAAACTTGAAAATGAGACTGTACATCCAGTGCGTGTTGCCAATGATGACCTATGGAACTGAGTCGTGGTCCTTTACTGCTGGCCGGATGAGGAAGCTCAAGGTCACTCACCGAGTAGCTATGAAGAAGGCTATGCTCGGGGTTTCTCTGCGTGATAAACTTAGAAATGAGGTTATCAGTGGTAGAACCGGAGTAACCGACATAACCCAACAGATTAGTAAAATGAAGTGGCAAAGGGCCGGCGATGTAGCTCGCAGAACCAACAACCCGTGGGGAAGCAAAGTTCTCGAGTGTCAGCCTCGTACCGGTAGGCGAAGTGTGGGCCAGCCCCCCACTAGATGGAGTGAGGACCAGGTAAGATATGCAGGAAGTCGCTCAGTAGCTCAGGTACGCGTGGCAACTATGGCAAATATGGGGCAATCTATGGGGGAGACCTATGTTCAGCAGCGGACTTTAATAGACTATAATAGTAGTAAACAAAACATGAAGTTGAATTTAAATTATTAACAATCCACCATATTCTTACAGACTATCGCAAGCTTCTTATAAGGGTTCATGAACCTTGATGATATTCCTTTTTTCTATTTTAGATGTAAATTTAAAAATCATTATATCAATCAATTAAATTAAATAGGTCACAAAACATACAAATCCATGCTCACCTCGCTTATTTTCATGTAGATGCCTCGATTGTTCTGCCCAATGTCAAAATAGAAATTTTTGTTGTCTACGCGCAAGTGTCGCCCCTCCGGCAGTTCACCTTTGAAGCTGTCAACAAAGAAATACTATATTTATATTATTCTAAATATTTATTAAACTCATTTCTTATGTAATAATTTATTAGAATAAAATATTCTAATATACACCTGCAACAAAACTCTGTGGTTACCGTTAAGTGCGTTATCAGGATTAGTATTTAAACTTATGGAAGTAACTTTATTTCAGAAAACTCGAGCATAAAAATTAAATTAAATTTAAATGAATTAAATGGAGTATTGCTGCCATATATGGGCTGGTGCTGCAAAATGCCACCTAGCAGCTTTAGACTCAATGGAAAGGCGTGCTATTGGTGACCCGAATTTGGTTAAAACCAATCTTACCAGCCTCGAACACATACGGTTCGCCACATCGTTCGTACAGCAAAGGAGTGGAATAAGTTGCCAGCATCTGTCTTTCCATCTGATTACAGTGTGGGTATCTTCAAGACAAGAGTGAATAGGTTTTTGTTAAGTCAGTGCGCTTCACCATCTAGGCTACATCACCACTTACCATCAGGTAGGTTCGTAGATAAGCGCTGGCTTAGTAGAATATCAAAAAAAAAGAATTTTTATTATAATAATATTCCACGATAATAAAAAATTATTCAAGTAAGATGTTATTAACAATACTAATATGTATCCCCGTCCAACAATCTAAATTGAAACACTTGTACATAAAGTGGATCTTGACAGTAGTCGGCGCATTCGAAACCATGGCCTTTGAGCTTTGTAAAACTTTCTTTTTGTAACTTTAATCACTAAACGATTATAATGTTAAATGCGCGCTGCCAGCGGTGCAATAAAATGGGAAAACGCAAACGGAAACAGGCCTGATGTAAGTTCGTAAGTGCGACAGAGTGCACAACCATTATATTGCATCGGGGGCAGGGAGTGTTTAACACTATAGTATAGGCTATCGTCGCCTTTATATTATTTAATTGCTTTGATTCTACAATATATCGTCATTAAAAGCCGTAGTTAATAAACTGGATTGAACTGTATGACTTAAGGGTATTTGGACAAAAACTTATCGACTGATGAGTTCGTACAATATATAACAATTAATTATCTGTGGTGACATCACATCTTTAGATTCATAATCAAGAATAGATGAAAGTATCTAAGAGCCTTAGCGTCCATTTACCATCAGGGCCCTACTAATAAACGTTAAACATGAAAATGAAACGTTACACGGCAAAGTAATTTTTTTACCACTTAAAATTTTGTAAATATTCCACCATGGCAATTTTGTAATTTTTATTGAACAGAAACATGTAACAATGTAAAGTGTAATTCGTAATTACAAATTTTTTTTTATAGGAGAGGTGGCAAACGATCTTTCAGCTCACCTGACGGTAAGTGACTACCGCCGCCCATGAATAACTGCAACACCAGGGGAATTGCAGATGCGTTGCCGGCCTTTTAAAAATGAGTAGGCTCTTTTCTTGAAGGTTCCTAAGTCGTATCGGTCCAGAAAAATCGCTGGTGGAAAACGATTTCACAAGGAAGTTGTGCGAGGAAGAAAAATTTCTTCTAAATCACACAGTGGTGGACCGCTAATCATCCAGATGGTATAGATGGTATTACGAGTTTTATCGTGATGTACGATGATGAAATTTAGCGGCTGGAATCAATCCGAATAATTCCTCAGAGCACTCCTCGTGATAGATGCGGTAAAATACACAAAGAGATGCAACATATCTACACAGTGCCGATCTGCGCTGGATGCGGTCAAGTGGAAGGAGCTGGCACTGAAGAGCCCCCAGCCCTAGAGATGGGAACACTACTCCATGTGAGGCTCAACCTGCGCCGTTGCTTGCGGTATGCCGGCATGAAAAACTGTCCCGCTCTGCTGAGCACGCCAAGTTTTTTAGAGGCCAATTTAGTCTTCTCTTCCAAGTGACCATGAAACTGCACGTCACTCGATATGTTGACACTGAGTATTTCAATATTGGCTGAGGCAACAAGGGGAGTGCCTTGAAACTGAAGAGATACGACAAAGGGGTTCTTTTTAGCGGTAAACGCGCAAACTGGTGCCTTCTGGGGATTGAACTGGATTAGATTTAGTCGCCCCCAATCTAAGACTTTGTTCAACAAAGTCTCGACTTCAGACACAAGTTTGTTCCGGTACTCGGCGACGTTTTCCCGAGAAATATTGGCACGGCCGGTGCATAAAGTATCACCAGTGCTGTCGTCTGCATAGCAATGAATGTTACCGGTTTGCAACATATCATTGATATGCAGAAGAAACAGCGTTGGTGATAGCACGCAGCCTTGTGGAACACCAGCGTTAATGGGCTTGTAATCGGAGCATGCATCATCTACTATGACCTTGATGCTCCAATCTGCATGAAACTGGTGATCTAATTGCACAATTTCTCGGGAAGCCCATAGGAAGGCAGTTTCGAAAGAAACAGTTTGTGCCAAACCAGATCGAATGCCTTCTCTATGTCCAAACTAACGGCCACGAAATTGTAACGGCAAATTGTAACTTTTATTACATAGAGGGGCGTTCAAGTATTAAGTAAGCAGGCTTAGGGGTGCAGGGGGATTTTAAATTTTGATAAAATTTTTAAATTGACTTTACACTATCATATGAGTAGAGAAAATTCTTACATTTTTTATCATTTGGGGAGGGGGAGTTCGCAATTTTGGTTCTTTTGCTTATACAAGGGGGTTAGGTCTAAAATCAAAGAAAGTTTTTATTACATAATATTTGAACACCCCCTAAGGCTTCGGTTGGCTGTGTGCTCGTACTCTTGCACATTACCATTCCCTTTTTTTGGTCAACGAATCGTAAGTATTAGGTGGTCACAACTTACAGAAATTCTTTAATTAAAATATAGGTTTCAGTTTACAATGGTCTAGGTGTGACGCAGGGTCGTGGGTCGATCATACAGCGGCGGATAGTTCTCTTGTGTATTTTAAATCGTTGACAAGGTAATCGCTTGTCGGAATACGTGTAAACGTAATTAACGCAAGTACTATGGCTGCACTGGATCACTGACAGTGGCTACCAATGATTGTTATTGAAATAGGTTTATATAAATCTTGACACAACATCATGTCTATTTTTTTATAGAAAAGGAAGAATCTACATCTATCCTTGATTAAGAATCGAAATGCAGTAGCGTTGTCACCCCTGAGGTCTAAGATGGAATGCTTTGTATCCAATAAAAAGGGTCTTTCTTCGTTTGCCTACACTCACGTGTAACCACAACAGCATTAAGCTGCTATTTTACCCTGGTTCCCTTCCCGGTCGAGCCGACCCATTCGTGCCACAACCATAGAGCTGCAGCATGTCTCTATGTTCATACGTACGAAAATTGCTATTCTAATATAATAAAGAGAGAGTGCAAATTTGTGAGTTTGCGTGTATGAGGAAGATAATTTCCCGAACCGCAGTCCCTAATTTTGCAAAATAATGTATGGCTGAATTGTTGTTCTTGAAAAATTCTAAATAAAGTCCGCGACAGCATATTATGTCTATCTTTTAGGATAACTCGCAGTAACGATTTTTATATAAAAAGTCGCGCGACAAAATAGTTGTGTGTGCGCACTCACCCGCCGTCGTCGGTGCCGAAGTCGTCGAGCAGGTCGGTGAGCGCGTCGCGGAACTCGATCATGCCCTGCGCCGGCAGCGCCACCTGGCTGCGCGGCCCGCCGCGCGTGATGGTCTGCGACACGCGCAGGAAGCGCCCGCGCGAGTTCTCCTTCAGGTCCAGGTAGTAGCGCCGGTTGTCCTGCGCAACACCTCCGCTACACCACCACACCACCGCTACTCGCTACTGGGCTGGCCGAGACCTGATCTCGCCCCCGCCGACCGATTTACCACCGCAAAATGCCTCAAATATTTTACCACCGTAAAATAGCTCATTTTCATTTCATTGAGACGTGGTCCTTCACTTCTGGCCATAAGACGAAACTCAAGGTCGCTCAGCGAGCTATAGAGAGGGCTATGCTCGGGGTTTCTCGGCGTGATAAACTTAGAAATGAGGATATCCACAGTAGAACCAGAGTAAACGACAAACCCCTACGGATTTGTAAACTGAAGTGGCAATGGGCTGGCCATATAGCTCGCAAAACCGACAACCGATGGGGAAGCAAGTTTTTTTTTATATATATACGGTAAGGGTGACAAACGAGCACACAGTCCACCTGATGGTAAGTGGTTGCTCCGGCCCATTGACATCTACATCTATCCTCTATTACAAATCAAAGTATAGATGCGTTGTCACCCGTGAGGACTAAGATGGAATGCCTCATTTCCAGTAAAAAGGGCCTCCGGCCACCTGCACTCACCAAGCGAAACGCAGAGGTAAACCTCTACTTCACGCTGGTTTTTTGTGAGGTCGTGGTACCACCCCGGTTCAAGCCGGCCCATCCGTGCGACAGCAAAGCAGCCGCGTGGCTCTACCACTGAAAGCAGTTTTTGAGTGGCAGCCTCGTATCGGTAGGCGAAGTGTGGGGCGGCCCCCCACTAGATGGAGTGAGGACCGGGTAAAATATGCAGGAAGTCCATGGATGCAGCTGGCTAAGAACTATGCTTTATGGCATTCCTTGGGGGCAGCCTATGTTCAGCAGTGGACTTGTGAAGGGCTGTAATAATGATGATGAAAACCAAATTTACCACCGCAAAATTGCTCAATTTCAAATGGTTCATTTCATTTACCACCACAAAATGAGTCATTTTTATTATATGCCCAATGAAATTTCACTCGAGTCATGGGAGATTTCTAAAACTAATGCCATAAAGCCCGCTTTTGGGTTAACGTTTATATTGGTCGATGGTGGTGGTACATATATCTAAAACATTTTCATAAGGGACTTGCAAATTATGCGAGGTCCCACAAATCATATTGCCTGTTGTTTTGACGGCGTATCAATAGTATGTCAAAAAGCACGAGAAGAGACGAGAAGCACCAGCTTTCAAATAAAAAAGAATCATCGAAATCGGTTCAACAAGAAAAAAGTTATGAGGTAACAAAAAAAAAAAACATACAGTCGAATTGATTACGTCCTCCTTTATGAAGTCGGTAGAATAGTAATGTAATAAGCGTACATACCTACCCAACTGGGCACAGATGTTCTCTCTTTTTTGAATTTGTAACGATGAACCATCAATAAGTATTGATGATTCGTCTTTACAAATTCTCATTACCTTCGAAAAATTTAACTAAATAATGCCAAAATACTCAAACGGTGCTCAATTTTAAGATGGCGTAAGTCTCCTGCTGTCTCTATCACTTTACGTCAAAGTGACTGTGACACCACGAGATTTGACGACATATTAAAAGTGAGTACCGTTGGAGTATTTGAGCAAAAGTCATGTTAGAAAGTGTAGGTAAAACTCTTTTTGAGTGTATTGCAGTTGTCGTGCGAAAAGATAAATTATCTGTTATCTGTTGAAATTAGGTGTTTATATTCTCAATAGCCTCGAGTATCATCAATGGCAAAATTTTGCACAAAAGCGATTACTAATTTCTTATAGTGTGCTTTTGTGAAAATTGTGATCTGTATTTCATTTTCATTTACGTAAAAATATATCGTAGGAAATAATTGCAGATACGCCGATTATTATTTGTCAACATACCTTAAGCATCATCTCGGACTTGAGCTTGCCATCGTCGGGAACATTGTCTGGATTGGGCGGCCCCAGCGACGAATAGAAATCACTAAAACTGGACAGGTAGTCACGGAACTCCGCCGCCGTTGACATCGCAAGGAATATCTGACTGCGCCGGCCGTCTGCGCCAATCTGTACCAAGTGAAATAAACTCACTATTAAAAACAATGTCCTCCCGACCGAATTTCGAACAGCATTGTAGTAGTGCCTGAGTGTATACGCAAGCACAGGTGTACTCTCTGTTCCCTCACTCTCATAGTCCGATGGGACCGTAATCCGTCACGACCGGAGGCGAGATCAGGCGCAGTACCTTTGCGGTAAGCTTTACGTATTTACAGAGGCACGAAGGTGAAACACCACCAACTTCCTGACTTCAGGCGACTACTGAGAATTTTTTACAGAAAAACCCAATAACTTTTAGAAGATTTTGGCCCGACCCAGGGGATATTCGAGCCCGCGACCACTAGACTTGACCAACGAGGCAGACAAGCTCGCTATGAGCTCATCATTATCCAGGTAAAGAATTGGGAGAATAACGAAGACTTCTATGTGTATTACTCGACAGGCACTAAGGTAATAATATATAACACGGAATACCAGCGTAAAATAGCAGCTAAATGCTTCTATGTTTCGTATGTTGAGTGTATAGAACCGGAGACCCTTTTTACTGGAAACAGACATTCCATCTCCTCCGGGGTGGTTAACGCATCTTGCATTTTGATTCTTAATCGAGGATAGATGTAGATGTCTATGTCTATGGGCCGCATCATCCACTTACCATCGGGTGACTGTATGTTCGTTTGTCACTTTAATTCTATTTAAAAAAAAAAAACATTTTCCGATAAGCGGCAGATATCGTTTATCGATATGTTTACATCATCGCGTTATCAAACGATAGTGCTATCGTCTTATGTAACAGCTGGTGCCAATCAGACCGGCTCCACCGACGTACAAGTCTTTCACATTAAATAAGTTGAAAAAATAACGAAACATGGCAGCATTATGCATTATTCACTCTGGTATTTTGTGCGAGCGTGGTCCTTCCCCGGACTCGAACACATAAATCGACCTTAAGTCACACATTAAGTGTGTTTTTTTTATACGTGGGAGAGCCATGCTGCAGCTATATTAATAGTATAGTTGTACTCGTAGCACGAATGCGTCGGCTCGACCGGGGAAGGACCACGCTCTCACAGAATACCAGCGTAAAATAGCAGCTTAATGCTGCTGTATGTCGTATGGTGAGTGTAGAGAACCGGAGAGCCTTTTTACTGGAAAAGAGGCATTCTATCTTAGTCCTCAAGGCTTACAACGCATCTGCATTTTAATTCGCAAACGAAGATAGATGTAGATGTCTATGGGCCACAGCAACCACTTACGATCAGGTGGACTGTGTGCTCGTTTGTCACCCCTATTCTATAAAAAAAATGTAAAAAAATTAAAAATCAACCTTACCACAACCATATGTATAAAAGATGGTGGTCGATCGCAAGATAAAACATAAGTCAAAATGGTTTCTCATGATTAAATTATTTAGAACCACTGATTAACAGTCATATGACAGAAATTATGAGATCTTTCTGATTTCTCCCAAAGGTTTTTTTTTTATAGAATAAGGGTGACAAACGAGCACACAGTCCACAGATATTACTATCATCAGTAAGTGGATAATGTGGCCCATAGATATCTACATCAATACTCGAGGAGTCACCCCTGAGGAGTAAAATCGAATGCCTCGTTTTCAGTAAAAAGGGTATGCGTTTCTCTACACTCACTATACGAAACACAGCTGCATTAAGCTGCTATTTTACGCTGCTATACTGTGAGAGCGTGGCCCTTCCATGGTCGAACCTACCCATTCGTGCTACAACTATAATATAGCTGTAGCATGGCTCCTCCACGTGTAGAAAGTCGCCCATGAGCACAACCCACTCGTGTTAGTTCTTACACTACTTTTTCGTCCGCACCTGCTCATACTCCGTTACAAGACTACGAATAAGGAATGTATACAGACATAACATTTATTTACGTAAACGCAACTACAGTTCCGCACGGAACTAATGTTTGTATGGTTTACAAATAAAATTGTTACGTGTCTGAATCGGGTGCTCGCACACGTACACACACACGCACACTCACATACACAACCGCATAACACACACAAAAACAAGCACGCATTTATAATATTTTTAATTTAAACTTTTAATAATATTTAATTTATAGCTTATAAAAGTCAAGGAAGAGAGGTGTCTCCTGATTCAGCTTATTATACTTATTATTTTTTTAGAACCAGTGTGATATGCACTAATAATATGTATGAGCACATAGTCAACGTGATGGTAAGTGGATGCTGCGGCCCATAGATATCCGTATCTATGCTCGATTAAAATTCAAAATGCAAATGCATTGTCACCTCTGAGGACTAAGATGGAACGCCTCGTTTCCAATAAAAAGGGTCTCCTGTTCTCTACACTCATCATACGAAACACAGCACTGCGTTAAGCTGCTATTTTACGCTGGTTTTCTGTGAGAGCGTTATCCTACCCCGGTTGAGCTGACCTATTCTTGCTGCAACCATAGCTAAAGCGTGGCTCTACCACGTATGAATGTCTCGTTTCCAATAATATGGCTTATTAAGAGTACAGTTTACGAGTGTAGAGAGCCGGAGGGTTCATTACACTTACCATACGAAACACAGCAGCTTTAAGCTGCTATTTTACACTGGTATCCTAATCATTCTTCGAAAAATACTACAGATTCAAGTGAAACGAGTGTATTAATATGTATATTCGGCTGACTCACCTCCGCGACCTTAATGAAACGGCCGCGGCGGTTCTGCTTCACGTCCAGGTAGAAGCGCTTTGATTGTATCTGCAGCATCTTCGACGCCAACTCCTGCTCCTGTGGCTGTTGACCTGCAAGCACAAAATAACAGAAGTTTTAGATGAACGTTTAAAATTATTTTAAATTTTTTATACGCGGTAGAGCCACGCTGCAGCTATACTGGTATAGCTGTAGCACGAATGGGTCGGCTCGACCGGGAAAGGACCACGCTCTCACAGAATAGCAGCGTAATATAGCAGCTTAACGGTGCCGTGTTTCGTATGGTGAGTGTAGAGAACCGGAGACCATCTCATATGCATTTAATAAAGAGCTGTCATTTTAACATTACAAAGAGACACTTCGATTTTATTTCTTTGTATAGAATGGTTCCTTTTGAACATGCCTATGTTCAAAAAGGCATATGGTGGACATTATGCTGTAGCATCTAGCAATGTTGCCACACCACACAGTCGCAACAAATCAGACGGCACGTACATAGGTAACTAGAAATCGGATCGATTACAGACGGCGTCATGCCCCAACGGCCGCACTGCACACAATACCCTTGTAACACATATCGTTCGCGCACAGTGATCATGTCGCTCTACGAGAAACAGTTTCAACTTGGTAACAATTCAATGCTTGTGAAGTTGCCTAAGTAAGACAAAGAGTCATCCATTTCATCCGTTGCAGACCAAGAAAATCCACTGCTGCACATAGGCCTCCCGCATAGATTACTTTATTATTTTAAGTTGTTATATAAAGTACGCTGCTGGCCGTTTCTCTATTTTGGTTTCCATAGCAGTGTCTTCCTAAGAAGGAATAAAAATAAAAAAGTAAAAGTAACCTAATACAAAAAGATAATTAATCCACTCTCACACAAATATTTTAGCCCATTGACAGCTGCAGCGAAATGAAAGAAAATAAGGACGCAGCAAGCAAGTGCACTGCTTATACTTTCTATGCGGAAACCTTATCATCTGCCATACCTACATAATACATATCTGAAACTGTCAAGTCTGTGAAATTGGAAATTATTGATTATAGAAGCCCAATCAAAGTGGCGGATAACAGATGGTGAGGCAGACGTATTGTAATTAGTATTCAGACAAACTACTGCAACGGCTCAAAAGACCTCGAATATCATCAATTAGCGCTTGTCAAATAGAACAAAGTTACTCCGAAACGATGTGGATCATTACCGTGATCTTTATTATACAAAGTTGCAGAATCACGGTAAAATACGTGAGTAGTGTCCGAGCGAAGATAGATTTCTGGCTGAAGCCGAAGGCGTATAAACCAATAAAAGTCCACGATCGGCTAAAATTAATAGTATAAATGATTTTAAAACTTTTAAATTAAATGTTTATATAGACTGTGTAATCATCATCATCATCATCATTACAGCCCTTCACAAGTCCACTGCTGAACATAGGCCTCCCCCAAAGAATGACACAAAGCACGGCCCTGAGCCACCTGCATCCATCGACTTCCTGCATGTCTTACCAGGTCGTCACTCCATCTCGTGGGGGGACTGTGTAATATGGAAAGGTAATTTTAATCATATCTAGAAGTTGATCTTGAGATGATAAAAATTGCGTCGCCACATCCATCGTACTCTAGCTAATTCGTAATAGTGCATTCAATTTCGGCGCTTGCTAGGAATTTTAGGTTTCGGCCAAAACTTCGGCCCATTTTGGCTGAAACCGAAGCTTTCCCTAAAGATGGTTATTTAGGCCGAAGGTAGCCGAAGCTGAAGCTTCAGTCGGGCACTTACATATAAGTGTTCTTGGATTACTTATCCGATTTAGAACTGTTTGAAATAAGCCGACACTTGAATTATTTATCAGCAAATCTACATGAGATTTCTTCATGTTCGTTAAATGCCTAATTATTGACGCTACAATAATTCTACAGCCGTTCTTGTCGTTGATACGGATGGGTTCAGTGAGTGCCTTCGTTTACACACCAATGTCTCACTACCCCCGTACTACAACAAAGTCCAAAGACACAACTTCAATATTCGGGAGTGAAGAACCATGGTCGTAAGGTGGCAGTGTAAAAGAATTCAACGTCCTATTACATCCCATTTCATAAGGGGGCGACTATAGGATATGTCTGAAAGATCTCTTCAGACCGTTGGCAGTATTTCGTTAACACCAGGCATATAATACTCAGATCGGTGACTCCAAAGGTCCAAAACCTCTGGTACAGAGATCGCCTATTCGCCTACCAAGCTTGGCGATTAAGGCAAATCCACACAACAGCAGTAGAAGCCTATATCTAGCAGAGTTACTGTGGTATCGTCACATTCAGACTAATGATGACGACGTACAACGGACGTAATTTCGGACGGACAGGCCAAATAAATATCACAATGACGATTAGTTATCCTGCAGCAGGAAAACGTTAACAGTAATGGTCGTCCTATTCTTTCAGGGTATGAATAAGACGGTCACGCTACAGCTATATATATTTATATATATATATATATATATATATATATATATATAATTGTAATAGCACGAATGGATCGACTTCACCGGGGAAGGACCACGCTCTCACTGATTACCAGCGTAAAATAGCAGCTTAATGCTGCTGAATTTCGCATAGTGGGTGTAGAGAGAGAGAGTTTAGCAGGGATGGGAGGAGAGTTTAGTAAATGGGGCTTTTTGCTATATAAGAATCATAAAGAATAATCAATCAAGAATGTGTCAGAAGGCACGTAAGGCAATTCACAATGCTGTGAGACATCTAGATCTGCGACCGACAATCCGATCAACAAGCATTTTTTTATAGAATAAGGGTGACACACGAGCACACAGTTCACCTAATGGTAAGTGGATGTTGTAGCTCAGACACCCACATTTGTCCTCGATTAAGCATCAAAATGCAATGTTTCAACCCTGAGGAGTAAGATGGACTAAAATGCCTCGTTTCCAGTGAAAAGGATCTTCAGTTTAAGCATTACGCTGCTATTCCACGCTGGTATTTTGTGAGTGTAGTCCTCACCCCAGTCAAGCCGATCCATTTGTGCTACAACCATAATATAGCTGCAGCTTGGCTCCACCACGTATGAAAAGCTTGAGATTAAGTTTTATTCTCCCAAAAATGGGATAAGCCCATTTCCAGCAATGGACTTCTACGGCCTGATAAATGAATGAAGAAACGAATGAACTTTATATTGTGCTGGCATTGTTGCATTTTTTTTTAAATAATATAATTATATGGCGGGGCTGTCATTGCGTCACAAGCAAAACACACCGAAGCCTAAATCACGCTATCAAAGTTCCGAAGTACTGCGCTATACACAGAGCGTTGGCCGCTCCCCGGGCTGAAGATTTTGCCCGGCAGGAGATCCTCCCTTTTCATTTAACGATTCAAAAATTCAAATAATAATCTTAAATAGTACTTTAATTAAAAAAGTTATATTTAAAAATCAACTTACCGGAGTCGAAGTTGTTCCCGCCTGTGTCCATACCTTGACCATACTCTGTAAAAATTAACTTAATTTAGAAATGTACCAAATACAGTATTTCATGTATAAAGATGCTGCTTGTATGACGTGTGCTATACCATTCTCAATCACGTAGATTTCGTTGGAGGAGGCAATGGAAATCACCAGAAAGACTTCATGGCATTCGATAGCGTTAATTTCTACTAAGTTCAATCGTTTGACTGGTTATTTTCTCAGTAGTTCCAGTGAACATAAATAATTTTAAGAGTTAAACTACTAAGACTATAGCTGAACTTACACCAGTGGTTACTTACATCAATAGACAGTGATCTATTTGTTACAAGAGGGAAAATGGGAGAGGCCAATGTTCAACAGTGGAATGATAAGGGATGAAAAAAAGGAAATACATGTGTGAAAGTGCAGGTATTTTTTATAGAACTGAAGTGACAAACAAACACAGTCCCCTTGATGGGAAATGGCTTCAACTTAATACAAAGGCTACAGATGCGTTGTCACGTATGAGGACTAAGGTGCATTGCCTCACAACATACATTTATACTGGCTCTTTATACCCTTCCCACAGGAACACAGCAATACAAGCACTCCTATTTGGCGGCAGGAATAGGGATACCTACTCGGACAGACTCCAAGCCAGAAAAGGAGTCTCGCCATCTAGAGAAACACAGGATATCAGGTATAAAATAATACACGATTTTGCGCAATGTTTTATTCAATAAATACAATCTGAATTTCAAACATACTGTATAACGCGACTCACTCGATACTCGTGGATGCAGTAGACACAAGTATATAAAATATGTATATAGCGGCAACTTTGTTTGCGTTGTCTTCAGAATCAAGTATATTGCTTTGTCACAACTGGGCTCAGGTTTCTTCTAATTCTTGAGAGTTGGCGGAATCAGTCCATAAATGCTTTACAATTAAATGGCGTTATAACTGTCTTATTTCATTTGAGAATAATTGTGTTTGGTGTGAAAAATGTGAAAAACAACAAAGTAAATCTTATAAATATAATGGGCCGGCCATAGCTGGAACAAACGACAACCGATGGGAAAGAAAGGTTCTCGAGTGGCAGACTACTGGTTCTCAATACCGTCCGCTAAATGGAGTGATGATCTAATATGATATACGGGAAGTCCATGGATGCAGGTGGCTCAGGAACTTGCTTTGCGGTATTCCTTGGGTGAGGTCTATGTTCAGCAGTAGACTTGTGATGAGTTTATGATGATGATTATTATGAAATCTTAAACAACCCTTAGTGTAGAACAGGGACGTAGCTACCGCCGTATCAGCCGTATCAATGATACGGGGCCCCCGGGGTATAGAGGCCCCGAACGTATGTAAGCAAAAATTCTAAGGACTTCTATGGGACAGGATGTAGGTTTGAATTATTTGGCTAGATTACTTCCTAGGAATATTAATTGTAAGCAATAACTTATAATCAATTTATAATTATTTTAATTCAATGCGAGAGCTTTTGTTCCTTTTGTGAAACATCTTTACCCTTCATTTGGGCTCCCCGACAAATTTTGTTACAGGGCCTCTAAGGCACGCTACTCCACTGGTGTAGAACTTAAAGAGACATCAGGGCGGAGCATTTACCGGACATGCAAACACACTTTCTCGTATTATAAAATTCTAAAGATATACTGCACGCGTGGCGTATCCTCACGACGAACTCATGTATTAGTGTCCTGAGTGGCGCCCGCTAGTGTTGTATGGGAAAGTTTCCAGCTCGCCACACGCTCCGCCGAACGGTTTTCGCCTAGGCATGAGTGGCGCGGCGGAGCGTTTCCCATACAACTCGAGCGCCAGCTACTGAGCGAACTAAAATTCAACAGTGTGTACACACTCCGTTACACGCTTTCCACTGAGACCTCAGGCTTAATCTTAGGCGTAAGATTCATGTATTCTCTTGCGTATACTTTTAATTTTTTTTAAACTAAAGTGACAAACGAACTAACAGTCTACCACATGGTGGCTCCTGGTCTTTGGACACCTGCAGACAACTTCAAGCAAAGTAGGCTACCCAGACCGACGTCTATCGACAACGAAAAGGATTCCAACCACTTGATATATGGTACAAATATTTTCGCAAATAGATCCTTTGATTTCATTGATATACAAAAACCCTTTTTTGTATCAATATCAAGGCTTTTTGTATATCAATGTTTACTTGCAACTTTCAAGTCACTAAAAATGCATAAACTCTTTACACTTCTCGACACTGCTTTTTATTCGTTCAAGAAAAATTAAAACGGTGAAACAATTAAGTAATTTTCCGAGGACACATAACTGAATAATTTAGAACTACAGCATAACGGGACAAGCGGGAACGAGACAGCCATGTTGCTCCACCCGTAACCCGCTGAAAAACGAACGTGCGGGAGCGAGACAGAAATAGTGTTCCCGCAACCCGCTGAAAAGCGTGCCACCTTAGAGGGGTATGAATGCAACGCAACTATTGCACAGTTCGCACGCAACGTCACGATTGCCTCCGCTAGGTAAGTATGCGCCTCAGACTGCTGAAGGCCGTATTAGTTGTTACAAATAGATATCCATTTGATTCCAACAATATCAATTTCCAATTGTTGCCGTATTGAGGCTTCACTGAAATAAGCCCACAGTTTGACCTTATGGTTTTAAATAAGAACAAACATAACTACTGTAAAAAATCATTAAATGTACAGGGTATTCATTCTGCCCAAAATACAGCAGGTCGTCGTGGGATTTTCTTTCGTCACACCGAATGGATTTACTAAGGAAAGAATGAAAGCGATTGGAATAAAACTAATTTTACGGATTTTATCGCGTTTAATTTTAACTTTTTTTAATTCCCGACGTCTTGGACGATTAATGGCACCCATGGTTGAAAGTTAAAGGTAGCCTTCGTTAACTATGACATCAGAACTGCAAAGTTCGCGTAAATATAAGAAATCAATTTTTATTCGTAGCTTCAGCCGTGTTCACTAGTTTATATTGGTATTGCGTCAAAGAAAAAATATCTCGGCATAATGCGACACTATTGTTTGCAGAGCGGCGTTATTCTGTCAGATACAGATAACTTTTATAGTCGAAGAGTGTCAGATCAACTGTCAAGGACTTGTCGAACAATCGTCACTAATCCAGACACTTTTTTAATTAATAAAAGGAATGCACATCGCTTAGATATCATTGAGTACAATTTATGCTATTATAACAAATTTCTATTGATACAAATTGTACAAAGAAACTGTACCCAACAGTCTATCACACAAGTTTTTCTGGTGAATAGCCTAATTCTGGCTATTTACCAGAAAAACTTGTGTGACAGACTATTTGTATAAAATATTATATGGTAAACTATGCTTTTTTTAAAAAAGTCCCGCTGGGTTTCTTGCCGCTTCTTCCCAAGACAGAGATTTTTTTTTTGCAAACCAGTGGTAAAAGTAAAAAATTACCTTCAATACGTATTATGTATTGTAATCTATATTGAATAAAAATGATTCTATTCTATTCTATTATCTACTACGAGAATATACTAAACAATTAAAACACTAAACAATCTAATTTAATATAATATGTATTACGTGAGAGATACATTGTGTTTTCATGCGATGGCCAAGTCAATCTATTTATTTAAAATATAAAAGATTTTTAGTATTGATGTGGTCACTATAAGATGTTGTTAGGTTAGCTAATTACGTAATAACTTAAGACAGAAGGACCCTTAAGTAGGCACTGAATAAATTAACCGACTTGGTATTACATGGACCTCACAACTTTTTACGGTAGAAGAACTGAGTTGCGAGACTTGTCTATTTTTACAAGTTATATTTTTGATGGCATTTCTTATATTTACGCGAACACTAGACATTTAAATAAAATTAGTTTTTACGGATTTTATATTAACTTTTTTATATTGATTTTTTCTCTGACGGACGGGACCGACTGATGGCAAAACATCAATCCAGAAACGTTGAAACAAAATTTCACAAACTTTTTGTAGGATATGGGTGACAACTAACGTGGTAGAGCCATGCTGCAGCTAATATTAGTAGTATAGTTGTAGCACGAATGGGTCGGCTCGACCGGGGAAGGACCACGCTCTCACAGAATACCAGCGTAAAATACCAGCTTAACGCTGCTGTGTTTTGTATGATGAGTGTAGAGAACCGGAGACCCTTTTTACTGGCAAAGAGGCATTCCATCTTAGTCCTCACGGGTGATAACGCATCTGCATTTTGAGTCTTTATTGAGGATAGATGTAGATGTCTATGGGTCACAGTAACCACTTACCATCAGGTGGACTATGTGCTCGTTTGTCACCCTATTCTATAAAAAAAAACAAACAAAAATAAACAAACGGAGCACAGACATCACCTGATGCTAAGTGTATGATGTGAACTATAGGCCACATCATCCTCTTACGTCTATCTCCAATTAATAATCAAATTGCAAATGCGTTGTTACCCCTGAGGACTAAGATGGAATGCCCCGTTACCGTTAAAAAGGGTCCCCGGTTCTCCCATACGAAATTTAGCAGTATTAAGTTGCTATTTCACCCTGGTATTATGTGAGAACGTGGTAAGTGTAGAGAAACGGAGACCCTTTTTACTGGCAGTCTAAGTTAGGGGTCTGGGGTGATGTATGAGTGTATGGGCCGCGGCATCCGCTTATAATCAGGTGGGCAGTGTGCAATTCTGCAATATTGCCATTCTAAACTCAAAGAAACTAAGACAAAGTACCCACTTTATGAGTAGGTCTATCTGAAACAAAACGTGACAGCTGCAATTCCTCCCACACCCGTAAGACGCCAATGTGTCTACTTCATACTCGACAAAGTCGACAGAATAGTCTGTTAAAGAACTAGATAAAGCGCTGTATAATATAATAATTATAATAATGTAATTTTTTAGCCCCCGGCGAAATCAGAGGTGTGTTATAACGGTAATGTGTATCTGTGTATATGCGTATCTGTGGCATCATAGATCATGAACGGGTGAATATATTTTGATTAAGTTTTTTTTTTCGTT